GTTTTGTAAGAACTACCCATCTCGTTTACTCATCCTCAAAAAGAAATGCATTTTTATCTAAGATCGTTGATAGAATGAAATGGAAAAAAAAATGCAGATACTTTTTTCCACATAAAACAGAGTTTTGCAAGGAAAATTTATCACCTGTGTCATTTACTTTTATTTGTTAAGTGCTCTTAAGCACTCTCCACTGAAGTGTCTGTGCTCTTAGGTTATTTCCAATTCAAAGGGACAGAAAGCTCCTTATGCATGAAGATAAAGGCTCTCCTTCCCCTCCTCTTTTGAGGGAAATATGCAATAATACTGAGGAAAAAAAAAACCAAGAAAGTGGAGTCGTTCCTAACCACACCCCAAGGAGCAGGGCATGTTGTGCTCAGCTCTGCCTACGCTTCTCTTGCCCATCAGGAACATCACATGTGGAGCCCAGCAAAGCAAAGCACTTCAATACAGTGTTCACAGCTCCAGGCGCTCCCAGAGCTGCTTGTTGGCCACAGCTGCACCTCCTGTGTCCCATCCAAATGTGGAACTGGTGCAAGAATTCTTTCGTTTCTACATGGTCTTCCTCTTTCACAGCATCTTGTGTTATAAAAAGTTATCTAGATTTCTTGAAGAGAAAATCCTTTGTAACCCATTGAGGAAAGGGCCAAGCACGGAGGTCTTCCTGAAGTCAAATGGTGCAGTCAGCAACAGAAGCACGCTCACGTACCAGCACCTCCTGGCTCAGAATTCAGGAATTCCTCCAAAGCACATTGCACTGAGAGCTGCAGCCGTGCCTCATCCAGGCCTCCATTTCAGTAGCAGATCCATTTGGAAGGCCAGAACTTGATAAATTCAAGGTGCAATAAAGGCAAGAAGGAGACAAAAAATGGGAACAATCTCTCAAGTGAAATTCTTCCCCATTATCTGATATATTGATAAGAAGCAAGTCACGTTACTCAATGCAACTCCACAGCAACGTTACAAACAAGTCAGAGAACAGCTAACAGCCTTCTGCTGCTGCTCTTCAGGGCTGCTCACTTACCAGCCTGTCCTTTTCCTAAACATGATATTAACACGAAGGTTTGAAAGTGTAATGTCTGCGAATATCCAAATGAATAATAATACATCTAATATAAGGGATACTTAATATATGAGGGATACTTAAGTGAGGAGGAATGGAAAGAAGGAAAGTCGAAGCCACGTGACGTCAGCACAGCAGCACCTTTTACACAAGCAACTCATTACAACCAAGCAAACTGCACGGAAAGCTCAAAGCCAAGTACAATCAAGTACAAAGCTAAACGGAAGAAGGGGAATCAAAAAACAAATGGATTCACTTGGGAAAAAAGACTGTAGATGAAATAAATATTTCAGTGAACAGTCTCTGAATGGCCATACAAAACCAATAAATCCTTACGATGAAACTCTGTCACTGTCACTTCACACCTTTCAGTTCCCTGCATTTCCATTCTCTCAATAAAAGATTTATGAAAGCTTTAACAAAGGAGTAATAAAGAGTGACTGGGGAAGACAGGATTGCCACAGGAACATTTTTAAGTTAGCATCACCATATTTTTCACTAAAATACACAGGAATTTATCTTTCCAAGATAAATAACATACACAGTTCTGAAAAAAAATTGGCACTAAAAAACCCACACCATTGTTTTTTAAAAGCTATCACAACCCTTCACCCTTCTTAAGCCATAACTGACACTTCAGTATCAAAACCAGATTTGCATTTCAAAAACCAATTAAAAAAGCATACTGTAGTAAGATGCTGATTAAAAAGATCTCGTGGCTTTACATATATTAGCCACTTGCTTTGACTTGCCCTACTTCAAACCCACCGTGGTAACAGCAAACCCCACAAATGAGATGGGTTATACAACTGCCATCCTGCACAATCTCCCTCCATCACCCTGATGCTGGTGCTGGCACACTGCAGTTCGAAAGGAACAACAACAAAAAACAAAACAACTACTTTTAAAAATAAACCAAGAGTTTCACAAATCCAGTTCAGAGCATGATACTGGCTCTGTTTGCACAGCAAGAGGACGAGAAACAACAAAGGAAAGAAACACAGGCAATGACAATCTCTACCTGCATTTGCTGGAAAGAACCAACTGGAGGAACATAGACTTCATCGGGAAAAGGGCAAATACATCCTGAAACTGCTGATCGTTGAAGAAGACTGACAAGTTTCCTGCTGTTTGCAGGTTTAACAACCAGAGGTTTCCTACCAGAAGTACGGTAGAATGGTGAATAATGTACTATCCATTTGCAATAGCATAACGTTTCAGATTACAGACGAACCATATTGATCAGAGTATTTGTCATGCTGTAAACCTTAGGAAATGATCAACTTCTTTAGGAATCCCAGGGCTGCCACACAGAAGAGTTGATGGTGCACTTGCAAAAGCCTGTAGAGCAAAGGCTTCTCATCTGCTCACACGTATGGAAAGGGTTCCTTAAAAACACATTGTCAGACGCACTGCAAACTTGCCAATCCATGCCACCATCAATTTCCCCACGCCATGACAAGTTTATAGCATTGTGTCACAAACATAAATTGAAGCGAGAAGCCAAGAAAGCAGCTCTCTAACAAAAAGCATTCAGTCACTGTCTAATCACTCCACACAGGGGTTGTGTGTGTGTGTTTGGTTGGGTTTCTTCATGCAGCGGTTGACTAAGCACCTCTGTCACCTTGCAGCACTTTGCATCATCAATTCCTGTCGTCATATTGGCAAGAGCGTTGCTTTCCAATGTTCAGTGGTTTTAGGCTCATCAAATTATAATGAGAGTCCTTTTAATCATTCAAAAAGTTATGAAAATTTATCAGGCCATTTGCAGCAGGTGCACTACAGGTAGATTGCTCGGCACTGTCTCTTAGATGTAAGAGAAAATGCAATTATTTAAGACTAAAAGCTCAAAACACCATTTACGTGATACAACATCACCTGCTTTTACTGATTCTTCTGCGCCCTGGCCTCTCTCGCTCATCAGAATTTGTTGTTTCCAGGCAATGAAGTTATATAATGATTAAGTAGTAGCTAAAATGTGCATAATATTCTCTGTTGAAGAAATTAAGTGCATCACAGCACAACACCAGCACATACTATTGGAATTCAACATAACACCACTCAATTAAGGAGAAAATGAGCTGCCTCCCACTGTTACCTGCGAGCAAGGAGAGACCTCACCATGCTAACCATCCCCACAGCTAATGCATCTCAAAAGCTTCTAATTACAGCAAAGATGGGGAAAATGTTTAAAACACACCTGATAAAAACTGCAAAATTCCAATGAGCTCACTGAAAGCAACATAGTGCAGGTAAAGCTAAATATTCCATCCCTCACTACAGACCTTCAGCAGCCCCTTCCCCTTGCCCTAAGAGGACCTAACATGGCCCAGCTCTTGGCACTGACCAGGTTTCCAGCTGAGTGGGAGGGCACAAAGCAGCACAGAAGGAGCATCAACAGCAACGTGGCTCATACAGAACAAAGAAACCCTTTTTTGTCCCAAGAAGTTGATGATCACTCTGCCTATACAGGTGTTTAGATCAGTGTCAGAGAAGACAAAACTATTCATGGAATAAACATCTGTATTAACTTGGATTAGACAATTGTTTATGGTTTTCCAGTATAGATTTTTTTAAAACAAAACTCACTAGGCTTTATTTTTAATTAGTACAAGGCTTTTGAAGATTTCACCCTTTTAGAAACCACCATTCACAGTAGCATTTTCTACAGTGACACAGGAACCAGGAACTGGAAGTTTCTGTGACACTTTGGACTACCTTCCTTTTTAATGCCATTAAGCCAACCCAATGATCATGTGGGCCAGAAGCATGACACTGAGCCTCCTCCTGCGGAAAGCAGCAGAAATGAACACAAAAACAGCAGTGTAAGAAGGTGGTAATTGCCTGAGATAAGTGTTAGAACTGCTTTTATTGTCCTCATTGCAAGGAACTCAGATATGTATTTCTCATTCAGAGAGACTCTGAAAGTCACTCCTTTAAAGTATAAAAAAAAAACCTCACAGATTTTATTTGCAACATTCCCCATGTTTCACAAGGCTGCAAGCTAGCTTAATAGAAACAACATCTGAATATAAATGACAATGAGCAGCAGCTCTGGGAGATGCTGCAGCACTAGTCAGGAAGAATTCATTACCTGGAGACATTTATTAAGCAAAGGAAAAAAACTGTTTGAAAGGCTGGCAAACATCATTAGAGAAACAAAAGAATATTGCTTCATGGGCTTTTCTTCCTAGTTATGTTGCTTTAGCTTATCTTTTCTGTTAGTTTTTGAACTCCTACTCTTACAGGTGATTCTAAGCCTCCTCCAGTTATCATTTACAAAACATTTCTACGATCTGACCCTCCTGAGCCCTGATATAAGCAACAAGAAGCAAATGCCCTTCTGGAAGCACACCACTTTCCCAATCAAGTTCTTAACACCTACCTGCAAAAAAACCAACTGCTTGTGAAACCTATTCACACCTGGTACTCAAGAAACAGAAAGGTACAGTCCCCCAGCATCCATGTTTTCTCCTTTTTCAGTCCTCCAGTTCTCTGGGGCTTCCACACCCAGCTTTTAGAAGTTTCCCTAATGTTTTATGGTGCAGAGGGCAGATAAATCTCAGTATAAAAGCCCCCAGAGAAACTAATCTTTAAGGGTATTTATACATTAAGAAAGTAGAAGCCCACTTTTTTACAAACAAACAGCACAAACCTCATTCTAAGGTGTGGCAAATCTCTATTGTGATTACACATTCCTGACATTACTCTTAAGCCATTCGCTTTAATTTTTCTCATTTCATTATTTCCTAAGAAAGCTGCTTTTACTAATTACATTTAGTTTAAAAAATAAAAAGGGGGAGATACATACAGCTCTAAGTTCATTGATAAGAGATGATACTAACTTCTTTCCTTGGACCGTGCTTTCTCTTTATTGCAATAGTGTACATTCACATGATCGTGCTCTTTGCTGTACTATAAGAAGAAAACAAATCCTTACCTGCTACCGTGAGCTTTGCTGTTCTGCTTACAATGGTCCCCAGGCTTTCCACAGTTGCCACGCACTGATAATATCCTTCATCGGGTTTATTATGCTTGGAATGCACCACACTGTTTATTAATAAAGACCCATCTGGCAGCAACTGGCGGCGGTCATCTGAGACCAAGTTTAGAAGAGTCCCATCTTTCTTCCATTCGATCTTCGGAGGAGTTTCACAATAAGCTGAGCAGTTCATTATAACAGATGCCCCACGAACTGACAGAATGTCCACCGGCTCCACCAGGAAGTAAAAAGGAGTGAAGGTTCTCACAACAGACCCTGTAAAAGACATACAAGACAATTTCAGGGGTTGGCCTTCCACATTTGTTTTTAAAACAAAAAAGTGCATTTTCTTTTAAAAGTTCTTTAACATGAGCAGGAGCCATCGCTGCTCACAGTGTGGCCTCCTCAGGAGCAGGCTGGCCTGCATGACGTTGCTGTCTGCTTTGATAACTCACACCCGTGAACTCTTGGAATTGAAGTGAAACTTTTCGTGCCAGAGCCATACTGGTTTGCTCACACTGGAATCCAGGCTCAGAAGTCCCAAGCAACCCATTACACAGAAACCTGCTTCATCAAAACACGCAATCCTAATGCACATGCCTGAATAACATAATATACAAACAGTATGCAGTTTTACGACTTTTTTCTTGCCTTCCATGGCAGGGATGCCAGGAACAGCAGTGTGGTCATTTCCCTTGTGTAACAAACGTTAGGAAACAAGAAGAGTAATTCAGCCCTTGAGAGAAAAAGTCTCCAATTCTGAGCTTAACACATCACGCAAGAGCCATAAAACATTTTTTTTTTACTTCTATTCTGGCTCAGGATAAACTTGATTGCTTTTCCATTTTAAGTATTCCCAAACAGACATCTATAATTAACATCTACTTTCCATTAAAAAGTGAATTTTAATTACTGTATTTGTAGCATGTTTGGTCCAGCAGAAAGCCTACATGTCACTATCACTTGGACTTGTCTTAATTTAATCACTCACAGAAAACAGAAAGAAGAAAGTTTCTTCCAAGGAAGAACAGTTTTATGAATCACCAAAGGTTGATTTGGGAGCAAACGTGGTCGTTTCATTGTGCTTTAAATAAACTAATGATAATCTAAAGCCAAAGTAACATCAAGGCTCCTCTCTTGTACTCTGGCACTCCTCCTCCACCTGGGGGTTGTGGTACACACATACAAAGGGGTAATGCAAACAGGACTATTACTACCTGTCTTCCAGCAAAGCAGAGATGAGCTAACAAAAACCTGCCTGCTTTACAAACAATTATTTACCAGCCATTTTTGGATACCTGGCAGTTTAAAGACCACAAAGGTAGGTCTATCCTTTATCTTCTTTCTTGTTTCTTTCTTTTAAAAATAGCCCAAGTGTCACCATTAAGCTATTTGTTAGCATGTGCTCCAAAGCAAACATGGGAAAATACATTTGGTCTTTCAAATCCGTGTATGGTTCTCAAATGAGAAAATAAGAGTCTTGAATCTGTGCTGGGGGCACTGCTTCTCAATTCTACACCAATTTCAAGCTGCACATTCAGGCACTACAGTAAACAAGTGACCAAAACCCTGTCCTCTGCTGTACCTCACAGGTAGCTACAGCGTGGTTTGCACCAGGGAGGCTTCCTGGTGGTTTGTATAGGGAGGCTTCCCGTGAACCAGGTTACTTGGCCTGGCAGTAAGCAGCATGCAGTACCTCAAGGATGTGGCTTTCCTTTTAGACAAGTCCAAGCATTTAAAGGTGATCTGTAAGGCATCGTTAAAAAACGGTTCAAATGCAATCACAGGTACAAACTGAAGCACGGAAAACCTTTACTTGTAAAGAAAGGCTGTCCTGTAAGCATCTTAGCTTCCTCAGTCCCTTGGGTTTTTGGTTTTAAGAGATTTACCTTCTCAAATGGCCCTAATTAACAAATTGACAAGGTTCCCTCTATCACTGAGCCGCACAGAAAGCCTCCTGCCTCCAAAGAGACTCCAGCTGCCCTCGGGAGAGGGGCTCAGCTCCTGCACTGACAGATTGCCTTCTTCCTCGTGAGTCACGCAGAGCTGGGACGAGGCAGGAGGAGCCATGTGAAAGGAATGGCAGATAGATTACACTTCTGGAGGGTCTAGCACTCCTGTGTTCTTCTACCTTCAAGAATTCAAAGATGAATTAAGAAGAGAAAGACTGAGGTTTCCCTAGTGACAGCCGCAGTTTCAGACAAGATTAGATCTGTTATGTCAGTATCCAAATCCTTGAGATTTGGTCCTTCCTGAGGATAAAAAGCAGAAGCAGAACAAAAGCCAGAGCAAATTACAAAATTCCTACGTGCTTCATTTGAACACATGCACACCTGTGAGCACATACTTTGTGTGAAGAGTCCTGAGTTTCAGCACTCAAATGACAAGAAATACAATAGTCACGAGCAGCACAAAAACAGCTTTAAACCAGCTCAATCTCAACCATCAATCCAGAAACTTAAAGCTGTTGTTTTAACTTAAAAATTCAGCCCTACTGTCCCTGGGTGTCCCACCAGGAAGCCTTCTGCCCAAGCCAAGCCATCAACTCTCTTACCCCCGTTTACAAACTTGGTTGTATTTTTTTTCCCAAGGGACGCTCAGATCACTACCAGAACAAACACGATGCACTCACTTTTGCTTTTCCATGCTTTGAGTTTTCAAATAAAACCTAAGAACACAAGAGGAAAAAAGAGAATAAAAGAAAAATCACTAGGAAGTGACAAAAGCCAGTTTGAACCAAAGCTCACTTGGGAAGAGCTCGCTGAGTGTCTGTACAACCACTTTTCCCCAGGCTGTTTACTAGCATAGATCTGGCATTTTTCATTTACAGTCTTCCTGTGGCTGAGATTCTTGACTTTTCTCACCTTCTGTAAGAGTCAGTTCTGCACAAATGCCCAGCAATTGCAATTGCAACCTTATTTCTTCATTCTGCAGGTCGGCACAAGTGCAGCAAGCAGGCTGAAACTCAACCATGCTTCTACTTTCAGATTTTTTAATCAAGATGAAAAAAAGAGGTCTTGCACCTCATTGCCAGTTCATATGCTTGAGATGCAGCCAACAGAGTAGGCTATATTTGTTAGCTGCATGCATGTTATATCTCATGCCACTTCCCCTTGAAAACATGAGGCTGGCTTCCAGTTTGCCTTCTCCAGGCCTCACTGCAGGCTGGAGCAGATCAAGTCCACCGCTAGGCTCCAGTTATCCTGGAAGTAATGAGGTGCCCATGGAAATAACACTGCAGAGTCTAGAGCAGAGGATATCAAGAGAGAATGTGCCAAAACAGCACAGAAGGGATGAGAGACTTTCAAGAAAGCAGATGTTCAGCCAGGTTTCAGAGGTAATGTTAAAAAGGTTTGCCAAAAAAAAAAAAAAAAGCCTGTGAAGACTCTGCACTGTCTGCTTTAACTCTGCACTGAAAGCAGTGGATAAAAAAGCAGTAGGGTTGGTAAATACATATGCCCCATGGCAAAGGAGAGGAATTTAGACAGCGTGGAGAACTTTCCAGCCTACACTCTAAGAGAAGATCTGCAGTTCAGAGTTTGGGCACTCCAAGAAGCGCTGGTAGAGCCGCATCTACTCTCCAGCCAAGCAAGTTCACACCTCATTTAACCCTTGGTTCAGCACAGGGATGCTTTGTACATACAAGAGCTTAATAAGCATGCCCTTCTGTCAACCAGCCACTTCTCCCCCCCGTCAGCCTACTGATCACTCACTTAAATGGCACCACGTTATTAAGGACTGGACTGGCAGATCTTGTGGAGGGTGGCCTTCCTTCAAGTAAGCAGCTTGATTTGTGTTAACGTTGGCCCAAGAAACCAAAACAAAAATAACTCTGGTCTTTTCCTTAGGCTTTGCATATCTAGCTCCTACAGTCACCTCAAAGACTCACAGGGCTCTGACAATTCTCCAAATGTGCTACAGCTGGCCAGTGCTTCTCTCCTAAGGCCTGTGCCCAAAACACAACTGCGTGCTTCAGCAGAGACAAGCTCGGTGATAAGCAAAGACGTGATGCCATTTCACATCTTTTGGAAGCTCTACAAGGGCTTTCATCATCCCTCCCAAGATACAGACAGCAGGGTTTACAGCAGAAGCACGGCACCACTGACTGCATGGGTCTGTGATCCCACCACTCCCAAAATCCCTCAATCCTTTTCTAGGAAACTGCCATGAAGCTGGTTCTTTGCCATTTAATATTTGACTAGCTGATTACTCCTGCCTAACTGTATTAACTTGCTTTTGGCTCCTCCAGATTTTCCTCATTCCAAAAAAAGTGTACTGATCTTGAACCTTGTCCTCCTCCTTTCAGCTTTATGTGGTGTGAAAATGTAACAAATATAGCTTCCTCTGTCACGCGGGCTGTGAATGAAAGACATCTCATAGAAATTACTCAGAACACACAAGTACAAAATCCCCCACAAAACAGCTTTCATCACCATCTCTGTGATGGTTCTCCTGGGACTTATCCAGCCCTTTTCACGGCCATCCTAAGGCAGTGAAGTTCAGTTCTCCCTTCCCCCTTCATTAGGAAAGTGTTCTTAGAGGGTTGGTGGTAGAGGAAAGAATAACATCATCTTTCTTCCATGAAACTTTTAAAATGCAAACTAGAGAGGTCTGAAATATTTCCAGCTAAGCTGACTGCTTTTCTATGCCTCTAGATCATTCTCTTCCCCATTCAATGGCTTTACATTGGAAGAAGATAGATTTAGACTAGATATTAGGAAGAAATTTTTTATTGTGAGGGCAGTGAGACACTGGCACAGGCTGCACAGAGAGGCTGTGGATGTTCCTACCTGGAAGCACTCAAGGCCAGGCTGGATGGGGCTGAGCAACCTGGGCTGGAGAAAAGTGTCCCTGCCTACAGCAGGGGGTGGAATGAGGTGATCTTAAAGGACCCTTCCAAGCCAAACCAATGATTCTGTGACCTGAAATATTTGGGGTTTTCACAGTCCTGCTCACCTCTTCACAAATACCCATAGTTAAACAGCAGTTCAGAAACTGCCTAGCCAGTTCTCCCAGGGATAGGACTGCTCTTCTCACTGAAAAAGGACCAAAGAAAGCACATTTGAGACATTACACTGACTTAACAAGATTAAGATCAATCTGCGCAATCCCTCCTTACAGCGTGCTTCCCTCAAGCCCATGAGAAGGTTTTTAAACCCAAAAGGGAAGTTTTAACATACCACCTCCCTATTACAGGATCTGAAAGCAGCTTGGTAAGACATGCAGAGCTCAGTCACTCTTTCCAAACGCTGCATTTTCAAAGGCTGGTGCAAAAA